TGCAAGTGTTGTTGCACAATATTATTATTATTCCAAAGAAGTGCACGTTTTAGCTCACTGCCAAGGACATTCGTATGCTACTCAACTTCCGAATATCTCCAACTTGCAACTCCCCGTCAAAGGGGGTGGCAAAGGATACCAAGTGGGCGCCTATTGTAAACTCTTGTCATGAACGTCTCATAAACTACAGCAGCTGCAGCAATTTACCATCGCACACGTCTTTCATTACCTATTGTATTCATGAATGCGAAGTCTAGCGGATAAATTTTTTCCCAACTTGCTCGACAAATTTCGCCAAAACAAATTTATTTCCCAAAAGAAAAACAAAGTTAACTAACTAATTATTTCGCAAAAAATTATTATTATTTATTATTATTACTATTATTACTTCCATTTTTATTATAATTGATTTTTTATTTTATATCGTTTTTGTATTTTCTATATTTAATTTTTATTTGTCTGACCAAAGACTTTTGTTCTACTTAAAAGGTAATCGAGTTTAACTAAATTTGTTCTACTTCAAAATTAGTATTATTTTAGTATTATTTTTATTATTTTTTAGTATTATTTTTAATATCATTACTATTAATACTTTTATTATAATTACACTGTATTATAAATTATTTTTTAATTTTTTATTTATTGTATAATTTTTATTATTATTATTAATACTACTATTTTTTTTATTTATTTAACAAAAAAAATATTTATTATGATATTATTTCCAATTATTATATTATTATTTATAAATTATTTACTACAAGCAAATAAAATAATAACTAAAAGAAAAAAAATATAATTTACAAATTCGAAAAAAAAATTTGTTTTCAAGAGGGTGAAAATTGTGAATAAAAAGACCAATGAATTCAGAGATAATACAGGCTTCTTATATTATGTAGAACAGCACAAAGTGCTGCACGAATTTATATTACATATGTATAAATTTTTATCAGTATCTATATATATATATAATTCAAGAGAAATACCCTATCGCACATTGACCATAAAAAGCTCAAAAAAAAAAACTCCTCATAAATATAAACGATCCAAGTAAAATATTTTACACAAACAAAAAGGAAAAAATGAGATTCAAATAATGAATAAGTACAATTCATTGAAATCGAGTCGCAAAAAAAAAAATTTCTTCACAAATTTTGCGAAAAGACGTTACAATAATATCGCAAATTCATCAAAAGTCTCCTATTAATCCAAAAGAGTCGTCCAAAAAAAGAAAAGAAAGAAAAAAAAGAAAAATAACAGAAAATACATGAAAATTTATTTTTATATATTTTTCCACGTATTTTCATTTTATTTTCTTTTTTTTACTCTCTATGTGAAATTAATTCGACGGACAGAAAGAATTTTTAATTTATTCAAGACATTCCATTTATCTAATTATTATGTATTAGTTATGTTTGATAATCACGATAACATTACTAATTATAATGACAATATTTAGAATGTTACCCTCGAAGAAAAAAGAAAGAAAAAATGAGATGTCTATCGTATTTTTTTTTCTTTGCGTATTTTGTTACAATAATCTTTCATTCATTCATTTATTCATACATTCTCTCTCGATTTTATCATTTTAAAAATTAGTTTTACAAATTCTTTGCCTTTTTTTCATTAATCTTCCAACACTTAGAATAATAATAATTATTATTAAATCTCCTAATAGGCGAGACAAACGCCATAATTTGCATTCATTTTTTTGTTTACTCTATATTTATAAAATTTCTCTTCTCTATCATTATTCTTTCATTTATTAATTTTTTTTTTTGATTGGCAGACAAAAAATTGACTGCCGCTCGCTGGACTAGAGATTTCACTACTGCTTTATTGCGCATAATTTTAATTTTCTTTTTTTGCTTTCCGAAGAAAAGTGACCAGAAATACTCGAAGAAAACTCCGTTTGCAATTTATAAATCAAACGCGTTTCGAGTCTTTCGGTGACTTTCGTCGTGAAAAAAAATTGTTTTGTTTACAAGTACGATTTTCAAGAAAATAAAAGCCAATTCGAAAATGACGAACTTGAATCAGACTTGATAGTTTTTGAAAAAATTCTTTTATCTGAATAAAGGATTTTTTCATATTACAATTTTTTTTTAATTATGCTTTTTTTCTTCTTTAGAGTCCGAATACAAATATATTACAAAAGCGTCTCAATTTAGACAATTTTTCAAATCAGTTTTCTGATTCAGGTTGTTGTTTCATTTTTTTTTTTTTTTTTTGTCAAAATAACTTTCAGCGCCCCAAAGATACAATAAATTGTCACCAACAAAAAAAAAGCTGTGAAACCTACTGGCAAACTATTTTTTTTTTCTATTTTCTCTCCAACAACAAAGATTTTACACAGTATCGATATTTTTTTTTAAAAAAAGAGTGAAATACCTCGGTTTTTCTTTGTCTCATTGCTACCGATCCCTTCCTTCCTTTTTTTTTTGTTTTTCTCAATAAATCTATTTTCAAAATGTTCTAGAGAAAAATCAAAAGACGATACAAGTGCCTTTTTTTAACGGACAAGTCAATTCCAGTGATGCTGCGTTTTAACAATATTTATACCGATACATAAGGCACGGCCTAGAAATATATAAATGTATTTTATTTTCATTTTTACTCTTTTTCATGTGGCATTAGGAAAATAATACAGGAAAGAAGATCTCTTTTTCTTAATTTTAAATGCAAAATTCGAAGGATTTTTTCGGAATTTTCGTATCCAACGAGAATTTTGCTAAGTAGCAATTATTTTTTAATCGAGGATCTCATTTTTTTTCGTGTTTTCTTCTATCTTTTTTTTCATTTTCGTATTTTTTTTTACTGTACACACAAAAATACTTCACTGTCACGATTATATAAAAAACATGATTGTATAAAAACTTGCGTTCGCTTAAAAAACGTAATTTGATATAGTCGAAAAAAGCGTTGTATCAAATTTTTACGTTTGCTTAATAATCTACTGGAAGATCATTTCCACAATCGCAATCCTATACAAAAACACTCAGGCGCCTTTTTTTTTAATATAATCGATCCACTCTGATTCGAAATTGTCATTGAATTTCCCTTTCAAATTTCATTTACAAAAATTCAATTTTTGTTCAAAGGAACAACAAAATTTTTGATTTTTTTTGCTTTTTGTGAATGCTTTCGAATAAGAGTGGAGGAATATTTTCTTTTTAATCGATACACATCTTCGTAAATCTATTGCGCTCGCTTTAGCACAATCGGCAGTAAAAGTACAGTTATTTCGAGTTCTCCACGATTAAAATAGTCTCAAACGCTCAATCATTTTGGGGATCACTCAAAGTCACGAATCCTCTGTGTCGAAATTTTCTCATTTATTCACAAAAAATCGTACACAAAGGATTTCTTTGGCAAATAATTATATGGGCAGGGCGACGCTTTTTGGGTCCTATCGTGATAAAAAATTCATCGATTACAATTTTTTTTCTACAAAATTTAATGAAAATTATCCAATTTCTTCCTTTTGATTATTCCCATCAATTTTCAATCTTTTTCTTTAATTGAATATTTTTCATTAAATTTCTCATTTTTTTTTCTTCAACACAAAGAAAATTTCTCATAGGCGAAAAAATTTCTTCAAATTTTATTCGATTTTCTATAAAAAAAAAAGAGAAAATTTTCAAATTGATGACGAAAAAAATAGAAAACAATTTCGAATTAAATTTTTTATCCTAGATTTCTAATCGTACTCGACTAAAGAGAGAGAAAAAAAAGCGCAAAGACAAAAATGATGATAATAATAATAATAAAAATAAATCTACTGGAAATAATGCGCATAAATGCCCTTAAACCTGAAACGTCCCCGTTTTTACTACGTAATCACACTGCGTTAAGTAAAAATTGATAATAATGAATATAAATTGAATACATTGTCAAAAAAAAAACGTACAAAGTAAGTCGAAGCGCAATAGGGAATCTTATACATCACATGTAAATATAAAATTTATATCACAAAATTTATATTTATATACAATGTATTTTTATTCGTAAAAAAAGACAAAAATATCAGAGAGCGATCTAAAGTAGAAGCAACAGTAGTAGAGTTTAATAACAAGTATAAGTTAGTAGTAGTTATCATTGTTTTTTTAATTAAATATATAGTTGATAAAATTGAAAATCCTACAATCGATCTAACTTCGTTCATATTTTTCTTTTCTATTCCCCGAATTGTATCCGGCAGTGTTTCGTGGGTATTTTTTCTTTGACATCAAGTTTAACAGGCTCTTAAAAGACAATTTCGTTGCGTCCGTTTTATCACCAAATTCTAATTTTTCAAAGAAATGGCAAAAAAGAATTTTTTTTTTCTTTGAAAAAATTTATTTCATTCATTTTTTAAAAAATTTATTTCATTTATTTTTTCATTTATTGCAATTCTGTTTTTGAATTTTTTTCTCCTACGCTTTAATTGACAGTTCTCTTTCGATAGAAAAACAAAACAGACGCAACGACTCTTCCTGCAAAAAATAACGCTCGTCATTCTTGTATCTCTCCTCAATTTTTTTTTCGCAACCAGAACTCTTATCGTTTTTTTTTTTTTTTTTTTTTTGTATTTTGGCATTTTTTCTAAATAACGATTTTTGTCGATGGTGATAAAAATTAGAAGTTTGTTCTGAAATTTTCAAAAATGAATTTTTAATTAACGATTGAATTGACGATTTATTAAAAAATACTGATTTTTCTTTCGAAAATAATTTTTTTTTCAAAAGTGTTTCTTTTGAAATTGTTTTTTCAATTATCAGTATTTTATTAAAAGTATTTTTTTACAGAATCATTCAATCGTTAATAGAGAAGAGAAAATAATTTGGAAGGAAATAATTTATGAAAAAATCATTTTCTTTAGTACTATTTCTTTCAAAATCGTTATTCTTATTTTTTACCCAAAAGTTAGAGTTGACAGTGAAAAAAAAAAATAATTTTGAAATAAATAATTTCTTTCCAAATTTTTCTTTCATTTTTTCGAAATCGTTATTCTTCTTTTCTTCAAAAAAAATTCATGGTGAAAAAAAATGATTCAGTTTTCTTTTTTTTTTTTTGCTCAAAGAGTTCGAGTTGCCGGTGGGGGGAAAAAACAACGAAATATTCGAGACTAGGTGGACCATGAGGTGCCTAATGAAAGGGAAAGAGGAACGGGACCTCGACATCTTGAATTTGATCGGCTCCTGGGTTTGAATTCGGTTCAGGATCTGTATATTCGAATAACGTCTCTGATGGGCGCTCGACATAGGGGACAGTGACCGCCGCCTTTGCCTCGCCATTGTTGTATCGCGCACGTGTAACACATGCACATGTGACCGCACATGTAGAGTACACTGTCGATATTACGCTCGTAACAAATGGAGCATTCGCTCGGCTGTCCCGGTGTTGGCTGTAGGCCCTCGCTCCACTGTTGCAAATGTGATGAGGACAGTGTACCGTCGAGACTCTGATAGGAGACAGGATCGACATAGGTCGACGAGCCAGTTGACGTCATTGTGCCGGTCAATGGTGGCGAGGTTTGTCTCGAGGATCCTGGATGTGAATTGGCGGCGGAGGAGGCGGCAGTTTGCGAGGGAACTGGCGGTGGATTTCTGTGCGATGATGATGACGACGATGAGTAGATCGGTTGGGGTGTTTGTGAGGGTGTTGGATAATTGCCCTGAGGGGGGAGATTGACGACGAGGACGGTACCACCGCCGACTGCTGGTTTGAATTGAACCATTTCGGAGAATCGTGAGAGTTCGGTGGCGGCGTTACTGTGATTCGTGTGTTGTTGCTGTTGTTGTTGCTGCGGCTGTTGTTGTGGAGCACCGGGTGAGGGGATGCATTGTCGGGTCCTCGGGGGGGAATTTGGTCTGCTAGCGAGCATTCTGACTCGTTGTGTGCTGCCGTAGACGTCGACGAAGGCCCAGAGTTGGAGACTCTGATCGACGTGCATCACAACGTTGGGTGGTCCGCCGTTTTTGCTCATTTGCACCTCGCCGTAGTGGGTGACGGTGAAGGCGATTTCGTCGCCTGGCTGAGGGCTGGAGGCGACGTCCTTGGAGACCACCCAGTACTCGGGTCGATCGAGGAGGAGATCGCTGTCGTCCGGCAAATCGGCGAATGTCAATCTCGATGGATCGCAGGACGTGAAACCGAGAGCGAGCGCTCCTACGTACATTGGTTCGGTGGCCAGAATTTGGACCACGAGTCTCTCGCCCAGGAAGAGTGGTCGACTTGTGAACGCGTAGCCGTGGCAGAATTCCGCGTCGTCCCTCGTTGCCACACACTGCTGATTCGTGAAGTGGACATTTCTACCTCGAGTTCTGTGGAATAAAGACAAAATTAGATTTTACTTTCAAAAATTGTTTTCCACTACGTTTTCACAACTTTATTTTTTTCGATGTATCTTTAGACACTGATAAAGCTTATCGCCATTAACGAAAAATGCTAAAGTCGCGAGAGCAAAGTCTACAGACTTTGCTCTCGCGACTTTAGCATTTTCAATTTAAACAATGACTTCATTTACTCGAACATTAATTTCCAGAAATTACAAGAAAGAAAAAAATTAGCATAGTCCATTAACTAGTTCAACGGAGAATTCTAATTGAAGTTTTTCTTCTCAACAGGAATGGAAATCTAATAACAAATTGTTCCCGAGGGCGAGACATGCAAAGAGAAGGGTAAATTCCATACATAAGAAAGCAAGTACTTACGGATGGAATGGTAGTGGAGTGAAGAGAACGCCGGAAGGTTGAAACCTCAGGCCAGGTAGATCGACGTCGAGATCATGATGGATGGACACGTTTTGCATGGACGGTACGATGATCCTCTCGACGTCGCGTCTTGTATTGCTGACGTCGTCCATTGCCGAGTGCCTACTGTGCTGTGCATTATCCTCGTTGCTATGTTCGGCACCTTTTTTAATATTATTAAAATGCTGACGATTTGGATCGACAAATTCAATTTCCGTACTATTTCCATAGACGTCAATAATTGCCCATAGTGGTCCACGGGTCTCAACGCCACTGAAGAAAACTCCCTTCTCCTCGCCATTAACGCCAAAATGAACATCGCCAGCCGATGTTACATAATAGAATAAAACTGAATCCCTCTCGGCGAATCTTTCGGCCAATGCCTTCGCCCAATAGCCCGGCTTATTTGTCAAATCAGGACACGCATATTTTGGCAGTGCATTACGAAGATTAATGGGATCGTTGCTCGTGAATCCAAAACGTATCACGCCACTCCAGTTGTTTGATATTGCCAAGAATTTCACGCATACCTGCAAAAAAAATATTAACACCAATTAGTACATTTCTCTTCAATTTTTTTTCTTTTCAGAATTTTTTTCCTTTCAATTTTTTTTCTTTACATTTTTTATTTTTAATTTTTTGCTTTTCTCTTTTTTTCTTTTCCCTTTTCTTATTATTTTTCTCTTTTCTTTTGAACAAAAGTTAAAATTCTCGTCAAGGAGTTAAAAATGTAAAATTAAACAAAATTTCGAAGTCTCATTGTTGTCGGATTTGTTGGGAGAATAGAAAAAAAAAGCCTTGAATCGATGATAATTGGAAATAAACAGAAAAAAATTTTCTAATGAATTGTATATTGACAAAAGAGAGTGAAACAGAGAAGATTGCAGATGATGGTGGAGAAGTTGCGAAATCTTTTGGATTCTCTTGAAACGTGCCGAACGAACGATTTGCCGATCTGTTTACCTCTGCGAAAATGCGAGGTCGAACTTCTCTATACAGTAATTAGAGGGAAGGCTACGTGCCCTCGCCATGATCCCTCGCAACATCTCCTCCTCAATGAATACAATCATCATCATCTACCAAGAAACTCTTCAATTGAAATCGAACATCTTTTTTTTCTCTAAAATTGCCAACAAATCAATTTTCACTTTTTTAAATCAATAAAATAGATAAAATAAGAAACAAACTATTAAAAAAAGAAAAATATTACCAACAACTTTATTTTCTCCCAAAAATACTTTATTCCCAATTTTCGAAATTACAACAAAAACTTTTCCATTCCCCAAAAACATCAAAAATCTAGGACACGATAACATAAAAATAATGACGATTCACAGAAAATTTATTCACCACTAAATTCTCTTCTACAACATCGAAATAATCTCGTCTAAAAAAACAAAATTTGCCATAAATTTTCGTACAAAATCAATTTGCCAAAAAACTGATAAAAAAAAGTGGCGAATTGGAATGAAAGAAAGTATTTTATCTCCATCTCTGGAGATGTGAAATAATATAGAAAACACTTGCTCAAATAGATAAAATGAAGAAAGTGGGTGTGAGAATATACATTTGAAAGGCAATGAATAAAGTTTTTTTTTGCGTTCTATGGATCTTCCATTGAATACCGAGCGATCCAACGCCTACCTTCTGGCAACCTTTCACCAACACGCGGTTCATGTATATATACGCTTTGACTTTAACCTAGAATACTCCTTGCGAAAAAAACAAACTGCTAAAACATTCTATATTTCTCCTACTTTCCTACGAGCAAAACTATGTTTATTCCTGAAGACATAAAGAGACTGGCGTTTGTTGTTACTTTGCGTTTAATGCTAAATCGCCAACCCACCTTAATGCGTGGGCAAAGCCAGGGTCACTTAAGATCACATTCGTTTCCATATAGTTAAAAAAAAAATTTATCAATAATTGCGAGAAAAAGAAACTAAACTATGCTAATTTTGTGAAAAAAAATAAAAAATTACGAAAAATAGGGAAAAAAATTTAATACAAAAAACACCAATGAACTAAATTGAATATCTAGTTAATTATTTATTGCCTGATAAATAATCAACTAGATAATATTTTTTTCTCCCAGGATTAATAATCGAAAAGTTTCTTTGTTTAATTTTTCTATTACCTATTTATTTTTTTATCTGTATTATATTATTTTTTTGAATTTTGAATCCATTAATTTTTCATTTCTTACATGTATATTTTTTAGTTATTAAAAATTATTATATTATCTAATAATATTATAATTATAATATAAAATTGACTAAAAACTTGTTCGAAAACACTTTCTATTCAATAAACATCATTAAAAGAAGAGAGAAAGAACGAAAAAACAAAGAGAAATTTGAAAAAACGAAAAAAATAAACAATGTCCAGTTGGACCAGTGGTAACGTGCTTGCCTCACGGCGGAACTGTCCCACGTTCGAATCCCGACAGTTTAGTGAATTTTTTTCTACGTTTTATTGTTCCGTTTTGTATTTGATAAAAATTAAGTAAGCAAAAACAAAAATTGAAAAATAATTGAAAATTTTATTAGTAAATCTTTAGTAGTTTGATGGGGAATTTTCGGAAATTTTAATAGACTGAAGGGAATTTCCCAGGCGACTAATTAGAATGGAATTTTCCCTACCTTCTCGCCAATTCGCACTGGCCTCGCGCTGAAGGTGACACCTTTGCAAAAGCTCTCGTGCCTTCTGGCGACAGTACCTCCATTCCACAATCTAATGTTATCACCATGCACCTGATGGAACGTCAGGGGCGGCAGGTTGTTTGTACCTGCACTCGATGATCTAGGAGCTGAAACATAAAGAGAAGCACTCGTTAGAAAATCAATTATACTAAAACAAATATTTATTTTTATTTTTCCAAGTTCAAATATGTTCAAATTCGTAAATGTTAATAAAAATCATTATTAATTTATCGAAATAATGTTTATTATTAGAATTAATATTAATTCTATACTAATTGACGTATAATTAAAATTAATTAATTTTTTTGTCATTCCCAAAGGAATGCCAATTCATTTGCATGTAGTTATTAAATTTTTTCCACTCCTTTTTTTTATGAGTGACATTAAAAATTATAATATGTGAGAGAAATTAAATTCAATCACATATTTGGTTTTTCTTTTAGAGAATGAATACAAAAATTTGAATAAAAAGAAAAAGGGGGAGGGGAAAAAATGGAAAATTCCGAATCACAAGAGAGAGAGAACAAAGAGAAAATAGGGTTAAAAACCTCTTTTGGAATGGGGAATTCGCTCTATGTATAAAAGTATATTTCGAATGCAAAGCACCTCGGAGAATGCACCGGGTATTTCCGCTCCGGTATTTCATAACGACGTCGTGGGGAAGTGTATTAAAATTATCCCCCTACGATGGTGGTGTCAGGACGTCGATAAAAAAAATTTACCCCTTTTTAAAAAATATCTTCGCTCCTCTTGTATTCTCAATAAAGTATATTCCAAAGGAAAATCTAATAATTTTTTAAATACTATTTTTATTTTTCAATATTACTATTTTAACTACTATTTTTTCTTACTACTGTCATTATTACTAAATATTACTTTTACTATTTTTAATATTTTAATTATTTTTACTACTATTGTAAATTTTCCACTTTTATATTCATGGTTATTGGTTTAAAATTAAAATTAAAAAAAAAGTTTACACATTGAGCACTTCTGTTTTAAAATAATATTATTCCGAGCTGCTTGATAATAAAAATCGAGAGACAAGCGACGACGGTCTCATCGATCGAAGAAGACGATTCACACTGACGACGAGTGAAATGTGAATATTGATATAAGTAAACAGAGCGTAGATCCGATATTTACACCGGAAACCGCACGTATTTTGCCGGAAGTTTTTCAAAAACCGGTTCGCGCGCACAAGGAAGGCCCAAGGCAACGGGGCTTCCTTTCGCACAGGATGCTTCAAAACCACGATAACAATAAGCTAAAATTAAGTCGATACACTTCGCAAAGTTTCACTCGTCAAAAAACCGACAATTACCTCTTTTCTTCGAGAAAAAAATTTCTATACAAATATATAAATACATTAAAAAGAAATTTCGATTTAATTTCCATTTTCTTTCCCACAATTTTCAATATCTTCCTCCAATTTAAATTTTTTTTTTTTTATTTTCGATTTCATTTTTCAAGGTTATTTTTCAATTTTAATTTTTTGATTTTAATTAAATTATTTACTAAAAATTTATTTGTTTCGATTTTCCAACTGTAATTATAATTTATTTTCTAATTATAATTTTTCTAATTAGAAAATAAATCATTTTCTGCGAGTTAGAGAGAAAAGAAATTACACTTGTGACGATAATTAATCGGCTAATGATGATCGCGACGAGAGAGAAGGAGAAATAGATAAAAGAAGAGAGAGAGAGAGAGAGAGTCACGAACTTGCTCGCTGTACAAACTGTATTTTCCATTCGATTCTCACGCTCTCGGAACTTGCATTTAGAATCGCATAAAGAAAAACCAGTCGACTATTGATATACAAGTCGATGTATTGAAGGAAAAAAAAATGAGGAAATCAGTGACATTGTAATTTCTAATTCCTCGAGATGTTCCTCGCAATCGCGCGTGCCTCTCCCTTTAGTCACTTATAAAGGAAGTTGACAACTCACGTTCGCCGGCAGACGGGGAAAAAAGAAAAGAAGGAAAAAGCACCGGCACGAGCTGATAATTACAATCGGCTTCTCTCTTTCTTTCTATAATTTTCTCTTTTCTTTATTTCTACTTTTCTCTCTCAAAAAAAAAAAAAATTTCAAACCATTTCGAAAATTAAAAAAAGTCTCCATCTCTTTTCTTTCCCCATTATCGTCAAATTTAATTTACCCCAAGACAGCCGTTTCTGACAAACTTATAAAGAAAAAAAAACTATAGAAAAGTACTCGAGAAAATTGCCCAAGAAAAGAAATGCAAAATAAAAAGAGGAAAAAAAATTGATTTCTTCGTTCCTTCGGCTTTTGTTTGAGGGAAAAAGAATTTTGTTCGTCAATTTAACGGTAAATGAGATAGTAAGGAATTGTGAATATAGAAAAATAATAGTCACGAGTGGGCGGAGATTGAGTTATATAAATATATATTTCTAATAAATTGTTATATTCAGTATAAAGATAGATTGCAAAAAAAAAGATAATAAAGAGAGGTCATAATCGCGACGGAACATTGCAACGGTGTATACGTCATAAGAATTCCCACGGTTTTAAAGTCGCTGCCTCTGGTGAAGTATATTACGAACGAGCCAATAAACATTGCGCCTGAAAGATCAAGACTCTGACTAGCTGCTGTTCAACACATTCACTCTATCTCTCTTAAACTCAAACCAACAAAAATAATTTTCTCCGTCCTAAGTATAGACACAACTTTCGTTATATACACACGTGCACTCCAAACAGTGCCACGTGCTCCTCTTAATAACAACCCCCACGACTTTTTTTTTTGGAAAACAAGATTGTCGCGAATCCTTGGGAACGATTCGAGTGTGGTAAACGGAAACGATCGACAAGGTCCGTGCAAATCCCGATTAAGTAAGGAAAAAATTTTTTCTTCGATCCGCCAGGATCTCACGTTTCTTCGACGGAAGCCATGACTATCGGTCAACGACCAGGAAGCTCGAGTTTCCTGTCTTGTAGTAACTTAAAATTCCACGCTCGATAGTCCTGCGAAACTATCCGTTTGCAAAATCTTTTGCCTCTCTTTTTTTTTCTTGTTCCATATTCGGTTAAATTTGTCCATATAATTTTTTTTTTCTGCCTGATACGCATTTACAAACTGCCGAAAAAAGTGTAATTTACTTTCTCTGCTCTTTTTTTCATTATTATCTAGTGTTGCATAAAACGTTTCTGCAAAAAAAAGAAATAAAGAAACTATGAAGAAACATTCATATCACGAAAATCATTTTTAAAACGAATGTACAAAAAGAATCCAGGTAACATTATGTATTTTACAAAAATTCTGTGTATAAATATAGAAAGAGAGACAGAGTGAGAAAAAGAGCTAAATATAGTATTACATGATCGTGAGAATTCATCGCGTGCGTATTATTTAGCAATGAATGAAAGAATATAATGAGACAAGAAAACGTTTTTCTTCAGTCGCCTTTTGTTTGGATCAAAATTCTTTTCTCACTTCAAACTGTACCTGAATATTCTAAACAGTATGTTTATTAATCACAAGATTCTTTCCACAAACATTTTCTGTTTCAAAATATTAAGCAAAAAATACTTTTGCACTAAGAATTTAATTTTTATCGTAGTTTAAAAATTCAGGAAGAATTTAAAAAATTTAGTCAAGAATAAGGTATCATTTTTCAAAATCGAAACCCAAGGCAAAGAAAGTGGAAAATCTTCTTCTTCTTCGTCTTCTTTTTTTGAAAGAAAATGTTTTTGATGAAACTTGACAGTGTCCGCGCTTGTCATACTTGAGCAAACAAGGTGAATGAGCAACAAAAGGGAACTTTTTTTCTCTCTCTTGTGCCATGGGTTCGAGTGGTAATGGTGGGTAATGGCAAAGGTTCGTCTTTCTGATACCAAAGTGCTCCGAAAGCAGTCGAGGAGAAAGGAAGAAGATCCAAAAGAGGGGCGACGTAAAGAAGGGAGATATAAACGAGTCTTGAAGGTGGAACTTCTTTGTTCGACTGATGCCACGATCCAGGAGATCACCTTTAACTTTCCTCGGTACAGTGACCTACCACCTCTAACACCATTAGAAAAAAAATAATCCACCAGACTCTATTCTTTCCCTCGAAAATACATTTTTCCCCCCGATGACAAATAATTCCCTTCGTCAAATACCCAATTGGTTTAAAATTTCATGGAGAGAAACCAAAAAGATGAGGGAAGAAAAGGAAGAAAATAAAGATGAGGAATCAAAAATTAAGAGAGAAGAATCGATGAATAAGAGAATTGCACTTGCAGATAAAGAGTATCATCATCATTCTCATCCGCATTTTGAGGTGTGCTTTTCATTGATAATGTATTGTCTGCTGAGAGAACAATTTGAAGAATACAATTATCGTGTGGGCCCTTTCTCTCCGGTTGATGATTACGGCCCTATGTTTATATCGGAGTGCGCGCAGTTTCAACTCTAAGATCCGAAAGGCCGTACGGATAATAATAATTGGCAAAGACCTCTTCTATAATGTCGTATGGAATATCTCTCGTGGGAAACTGATGGCATACATTTCTGTCGCGCGGAAGAACTTTTATCCGCACATAGACATCGTCATCGTCGTCATCATTTCAACCTCTAATTCGACCTAAGGCAAACTTTAAACGACTCCAAAGAGAAATGTTCTAATGGAACATCCAACAGTAGAAATCTTTGGTGTCAATCTGATGGAACTTTATGTTGTCAGCATCATGCTGCACTTTGGTGTACAAATTTAGATTTCTTGTTTCGATATGTTCTCTAATTAAGAGAATTTTGTGCTGTTGAACTACAGCAGTAGTTATTGGTTGTATACAAGATTTTTTAGTAGTATTTGTCATGTACAATTTTAATATTGTTGGTATCTAGAAGAACAAACAATTCTGATGCTGTTTTTAATACTGTACCAAAACAAACAAACAGTTCTGATGCTGTTGATGTAAAAAAAACAACTGTTCTAACAAAAGGTACAAAGAATTTTATGCTTTCGTAATCTTTAATTAAATCTTGATGCTGTACCAAATGAACAAATTTTGATAATACCAAAAAAATAAACAGTATTATAGATGAAGTACTAGAAAGAAGAACTCTTACAGAACGGATGGTTCAAAAATATAAAATGTTGCAA